CGCTGATTCACTGTTACATATCTACTTACTAAAATGTCTGCTCACAGGTTGTACAGTTTAGTAGTTAAGAACATATGTGGCTCCAATATAAAGAAACAGTGAATAACAAGACAGTGAAACAGGCCCAATGAGCCTCTTATTATTTCTATACATGGGCAGTAGCTATAAAGTGTTACTGTAAATAAAGGTTAACGGCTTCTTATCTTGCTGATATGTTATAGGAAGTATAACACTCGATCCATTAACGTCCTTGCTTAATGCAGATTTTAATATACTTTCTTCAATGTCCAGACGAAAGCAACCCGAGTGGTTTCAAGTCAGTCCGAGCTCCAGAAAGACAACCGGCCGCTCAGCAACAACAGCAGCAGCAGAATATGCACTGTGGGGAGTGTGGGAACATGGTGATGTAAGTTAATATCCATATAATACACTTACCCTTATAAACGTAGGGCACATAATACACTTACCCTGGTAAACATAGGACACATAATACACTTACCCTGGTAAACATAGGACACATAATACACTTACACTGGTAAACGTAGGGCACATAATACACTTACACTGGTAAATGTAGGACACATAATACACTTACCCTGGGTGATGTAAGTTAATATCCATATAATACACTTACCCTTATAACCGTAGGGCACATAATACGCTTCCCCTGGTAAACGTAGGACACATAATACACTTTCCCTGGTAAACGTAGGGCACATAATACACTTCCACTGGTAAACGTAGGACACATAATACACTTATACTGGTAAACGTAGGGCACATAATACACTTACCCTCATAAACGTAGGACACATAATACACTTACGCTGGTAAACATAGGGCACATAATACACTTACACTGGTAAACGTAGGACATAATACACTTACACTGGTAAACATAGGACACATAATACACTTACCCTGGTAAACAAAGGACACATAATACACTTACCCTGGTAAATGTAGGGCATATAATACACTTACACTGGTAAACGTAGGACATAATACACTTACACTGGTAAACATAGGGCACATAATACACTTACCCTGGTAAACATAGGACACATAATACACTTACCCTGGTAAACAAAGGACACATAATACACTTACCCTGGTAAACATAGGACACATAATACACTTACACTGGTAAACAAAGGACACATAATACACTTACCCTGGTAAACAAAGGACACATAATACACTTACCCTGGTAAACATAGGGCACATAATACACTTACCCTGGTAAACAAAGGACACATAATACACTTACACTGGTAAACAAAGGACACATAATACACTTACCCTGGTAAACGTAGGGCACATAATACACTTACCCTGGTAAATGTAGGGCATATAATACACTTACACTGGTAAACGTAGGACACATAATATACTTGCCCTGGTAAATGTAGTGCACATAATACACTTACACTGGTAAACATAGGGCACATAATACGCTTACACTGGTAAACGTATCACATAATACACTTACATTGGTAAACGTAGGACACATAATACACTTACCCTGGGTGATGTAAGTTAATATCCATATAATACACTTATCCTTATAAACGTAGGGCACATAATACACTTACCCTGGTAAATGTAGGGCATATAATACACTTTCCCTGGTAAATGTAGGGCATATAATACACTTACACTGGTAAACGTAGGACATAATACACTTACCCTGGTAAACGTAGGGCCCATAATACACTTACACTGGTAAACAAAGGACACATAATACACTTACCCTGGTAAACGTAGGACACATAATACACTTACCCTGGTAAACATAGGACACATAATACACTTACCCTGGTAAACAAAGGACACATAATACACTTACACTGGTAAACATAGGGCACATAATACACTTACCCTGGTAAATGTAGGGCATATAATACACTTTCCCTGGTAAATGTAGGGCATATAATACACTTTCCCTGGTAAATGTAGGGCATATAATACACTTTCCCTGGTAAATGTAGGGCATATAATACACTTTCCCTGGTAAATGTAGGGCATATAATACACTTTCCCTGGTAAATGTAGGGCATATAATACACTTTCCCTGGTAAATGTAGGGCATATAATACACTTACCCTGGTAAATGTAGGGCATATAATACACTTACACTGGTAAACGTAGGACATAATACACTTACACTGGTAAACATAGGGCACATAATACGCTTACACTGGTAAACGTATCACATAATACACTTACATTGGTAAACGTAGGACACATAATACACTTATACTGGTAAACGTAGGGCACATAATACACTTACACTGTTAAACAAAGGACACATAATATTCTTGCCCTGGTAAATGTAGGGCACATAATACACTTACACTGATAAACATAGGGCACATAATACACTTACACTGGTAAACATAGGGAACATAATACCCTTACACTGGTAAACGTATCACATAATACACTTACATTGGTAAACGTAGGACACATAATACACTTACCCTTATAAATTAGGGCACATAATACACTTCCCCTTATAAACGTAGGACACATAATACACTTACGCTGGTAAACATAGGGCACATAATACACTTACACTGGTAAATGTAGGACACATAATACACTTACCCTGGGTGATGTAAGTTAATATCCATATAATACACTTACCCTTATAAACGTAGGGCACATAATACACTTACACTGTTAAACAAAGGACACATAATATTCTTGCCCTGGTAAATGTAGGGCACATAATACACTTACACTGGTAAACGTATCACATAATACACTTACATTGGTAAACGTAGGACACATAATACACTTACACTGGTAAACGTAGGGCACATAATACACTTACACTGGTAAACATAGGGCACATAATACACTTACACTGGTAAACGTAGGGCACATAATACACTTACACTGGTAAACGTAGGGCACATAATACACTTACTCTGGTAAATGTAGGGCACATAATACACTTACACTGGTAAACATAGGGCACATAATACACTTACACTGGTAAACGTAGGGCACAAACATACTAACTTCAGAGCATAGTCTCATTGGAATGTCTATTACTACCTTGATCCAATAATAACTCCCCCACCAACCATGGACACGTTCGTGTATTTTTTTCACTTGTTTTTGAAGGGGTGTCTTTGTGAAGGTCCAAGGAGTTCCTTATCATCCAGGGTGTTTTAAGTGTGCCAAATGTGGAGTCAATCTCAAACAGAGAGGTAAGCTCAAGTTCTTCCTTCGGGAAGTAGCATGTTTATTGGTGATATATTTGTTGTCTAGGCATCATATTGTCAGGTAAGGGATTAAATATGTTTTATGTAGGGAAAGCATATTGTAAGTCTACATAGTGTATTAATAGTCCGTCCAGGTATGGTAGGTAGTATTGTCAGTCCAAGTGTTTTATCGTCTTGTTAACTTCCAACGTTGATGAATTTTCACCTATTACATCCTGCTTATGTTGACCAGGCTACTTCGTGATCGAAGACAGGCTCTACTGTGAAACCCATGCCAAACAGGTTGCCCAGCCACCAGACCCAAACATGAAGGCAGTCCCTGTATATAGGTAAATATATATTTTATGCTTTATATAAGTATGTAGGAAAACATGAGATCAGTTAATCTAAATAATCATCACTGATCTTGGAATTTGACGTAACTTTATGAATATTTTGATTTTGAGAAGTAGTCTAGTCACGGCACGGCACTCAGTGTTGTATCTTTGAGCAAGATACTTTACTTCACTTGTTCCAGTCTACTCAGCTGTAAAGGAGTACGTGGTTGGGCAGTGCTAGAAATGTTGAATGCTAGCTGTTAGTGCCGAAACGGCAGCACCGGCTGTATGCTCCCCAGGGAGTTGAGAAAGATATTGGCGGGTTGCAAAGGCCCTATAACTACGGAAAATAATTTGTGAAACGCTTTGTGACGACCTACGAACTAAGTTGTGATAAAGCCATGTATAAGAACCTAGAATTATTATTTATTTCATTATTATAATTAGTAAGCATAGAAGTGCAAGTAAAAAACTAAGCAGAAAAAAGGCAAAAGAAAATTGCAAACATCTGGCATATTTTCTGACCTTTCAACCAATTTCCAAAGAGTTATGGCCCTTAATGTATTTAACATCCTTGTGTAAATACAATCTTTTCCAGTCTTCTAAAGAGTTTTGGCTCTGAATGTATTTAACATCCTTGTGTAAATACAATCTTTTCCAGTCTTCTAAAGAGTTTTGGCTCTGAATGTAATTATCGGTCCATTTGTTGATGCAGTTGTATTACCATTAATTTTTTCCTTTGAATTTAGAAGAATTAACTTCTGGCCCTTGATTTACCTAACAAAGCTGTGTCCAGTCTATCACTCCTTCAGTTTAATATGGATTTTTAAACAAAACTGTAAACCTCTTGCCTATCATATGAACCTGTGCAGTTTTACTTTCTTGTTTTAAAAGCTTTTTAAAGGTTCTGAATCGTAACAAAAGTAGTTGACGTATGAGTGCTCATTCTCCGTCCCATTTGGGTCATCCTTATTTTTACTCTTTTAATACACACCCATTACCCCCCTTAAATATAAAATGTATAAATTGAAATAGGGAAATGAATAAGTTATCGTAGGGGACAACTGTTATGGAATGTGGAGTCGTATGTGGGAGATATTGTAACAGTGTTAAATTTATTTTCAATTTAAATATTTTGATACTGCTCATAATAGAAAACCAAAATACTTTGATGATAGTCTGCCAAATCAACAGCATCTTTTTGGTATGGCTTACATATACATTACGTAAAAACTATTGTATAAATAATTTTAATCACCTGGTATCTTCAATCCGCACCAATGACCAGAGGTAATGTCATGTATATTGATCCTACGTCATCGGGTATATATTGATCCTACGTCATCGGGTATCATTTAACCAGAGGTTATGTCATGTATATTGATCCTACGTCATCAGGTATCATTTAACCAGAGGTAATGTCATGTATATTGATCCTATGTCATCGGGTATCATTTAACCAGAGGTAATGTCATGTATATTGATCCTATGTCATCGGGTATCATTTAACCAGAGGTTATGTCATGTATATTGATCCTACGTCATCAGGTATCATTTAACCAGAGGTAATGTCATGTATATTGATCCTATGTCATCGGGTATCATTTAACCAGAGGTAATGTCATTTATATTGATCCTACATCATCGGGTATCATTTAACCAGAGGTAATGTCATTTATATTGATCCTACGCCATCGGGTATCATTTAACCAGAGGTAATGTCATTTATATTGATCCTACGTCATCGGGTATCATTTAACCAGAGGTAATGTCATTTATATTGATCCTACGTCATCGGGTATCATTTAACCAGAGGTAATGTCATGTATATTGATCCTACATCGGGTATCATTTAACCAGAGGTAATGTCATTTATATTGGTCCTACGTCATCGGGTATCATCTAACCAGAGGTAATGTCATTTATATTGATCCTACGTCATCAGGTATCATTTAACCAGAGGTAATGTCATTTATATTGGTCCTACCTCATCGGGTATCATCTAACCAGAGGTAATGTCATTTATATTGATCCTACGCCATCGGGTATCATTTAACCAGAGGTAATGTCATGTATATTGATCCTACGCCAGAGCCATGCTAGTAAAAACTGCAGACTTAGAATGAATATGAATATATATAAATAAACGTGTATAACATATTCTTCTCTAGGTAACCATCACACCTCCAGACAAGTTTGAGTGACATCCTGCTGAGGGCTTCAGCAGATTTGGAATTATTGTTCCCTTGCCCACCCTTTTGAAGCTGGACCTGTAACACGGGTTGGCTGTATGGTGGTAGACTAGACAGTGTGACTACTGTAGAAGGATCGGAAATCCGCCCAGTATCCTGGCAATATTATCTCCCAACTTCCCCTTGCTGACCCTTGCGTGTACCACTTCCCCTCCCTGTGTGTGCCACCTAACTTGGGAAATGAGCCAGGGACAAATTAGAACCAAAATCCAAAATTAATAACACTGAGAACATCTTTCACTGTGGTAAACTCCTTGCTAGCCAGGCTGACCCCGATTTTGGTACCTGACCAGTGAAGACCGTGGAGCACATGATTATGTAAATGAGCCGTGATAAGGTGCCAGACGATACTGTCTGGTGTTCCTAGTCATTGTCTAGTATTCTATGTTGTGCTTGTGTAGATGGATTATTTTTTGTTGTTGATGTTATACATATTGTTTTATTTTGAAGAAATTTGATACCTTGGTGTTGTATAAATGTACAATTTGTCTATAATATTATAAAAAGTATTTTTGAAATGAGAAAATGATAGATTATATTTCTACAATGATTAGAACTATGTATAGTGCATGTAGTTGTGAACTGGTGTAGGCCAGCTTGTCTCCATACATTGTTTTGGCCACAGGACTATGCAATATTAAAAGTAGCATTACCATGTCATGTGATAACATAGCTCAACAGGCCAATTGTAACGTTTGTCAATGGTTGTAACAGGGCTCTACAGTCCAAGAGTAACTAAATGGATATTATTGGCCAAGGGTAACTAAATGGATATTACTGGGCTCGACAGGCCAAGGGTTAACTAAATGGATATTACTGGGCTCGACAGGCCAAGGGTAACTAAATGGATATTACTAGGCTCGACAGGCCAAGGGTAACTAAATGGATATTACTGGGCTCGACAGGCCAAGGGTAACTAAATGGATATTACTGGGCTCGACAGGCCAAGGGTAACTAAATGGATATTACTGGGCTCGACAGGCCAAGGGTAACTAAATGGATATTACTGGGCTCGACAGGCCAAGGGTAACTAAATGGATATTACTGGGCTCGACAGGCCAAGGGTAACTAAATGGATATTACTGGGCTCGACAGGCCAAGGGTAACTAAATGGATATTACTGGGCTCGACAGGCCAAGGGTAACTAAATGGATATTACTGGGCTCGACAGGCCAAGGGTAACTAAATGGATATTACTGGGCTCGACAGGCCAAGGGTAACTAAATGGATATTACTGGGCTCGACAGGCCAAGGGTAACTAAATGGATATTACTGGGCTCGACAGGCCAAGGGTAACTAAATGGATATTACTGGGCTCGACAGGCCAAGGGTAACTAAATGGATATTACTGGGCTCGACAGGCCAAGGGTAACTAAATGGATATTACTGGGCTCGACAGGCCAAGGGTAACTAAATGGATATTACTGGGCTCGACAGGCCAAGGGTAACTAAATGGATATTACTGGGCTCGACAGGCCAAGGGTAACTAAATGGATATTACTGGGCTCGACAGGCCAAGGGTAACTAAATGGATATTACATAGTAGGGCTCTACTTGTAAAGGGTAACTAAATGGATATTACAAAGTTGGGCTCTACTGGTAAAGGGTAACTAAATGAATATTTCTAAGTAGGGCTTGAAGAAGGGCTCCGCTGGCCAAGGGTAACGTAATAGATATAACAGGGCCCTACTGGCCAAGGGTAACATAATGGATGTAACAGGGCTCTACTGGCCAAGGGTAACATAATAGATATTACAGGGCCCTACTGGCCAAGGGTAACATAATAGATATTACAAGGCCATACTGGCCAAGGGTAAACTAATGGATATAACAGGGCCCTACTGACCAAGGGTAACATAATAGATATAACAGGGCCCTCCTGGCCAAGGGTAACATAATGGATGTAACAGGGCCCTACTGGCCAAGGGTAACATAATAGATATTACAAGGCCCTACTGGCCAAGGGTAACATAATAGATATTACAGGGCCCTACTGGCAAAGGGTAACATAATAGATATTACAGAGCCCTACTGGCCAAGGGTAAACTAATAGATATAACAGGGCCCTACTGGCCAAGGGTAAACTAATGGATATAACAGGGCCCTACTGACCAAGGGTAACATAATAGATATAACAGGGCCCTCCTGGCCAAGGGTAACATAATAGATATAAAAGGGCCCTACTGGCCAAGGGTAAACTAATGGATATAACAGGGCCCTACTGACCAAGGGTAACATAATAGATATTACAAGGCTGTAAATACCAGGCTTAAACGTCATGATATTATAGAGCTCCACAGGCCAAGGCTAACTTAATGTATGTTTAAGGTCTTGGAAAGCTAGGCTTAAACTCAGTGGATTTTACAGGGCTCAACAGTTTAACTTTTTTGCCTAAAACTGCAATACATTTGTATATACCAGTGTTAATTGAAGAAGATTATGACAACTATCGTGCTGGTGATAATTTAAAATAAAGTACTGATATTGATCTGAATCAGTCTTATTTCTCACTTGTTTTATTTCACTGCCAAATAAAATGTTAACATGTATGGGGCATTATGAAAATTTGCTTCTGCTTATGTACATATCGCAGCTGATGTACTAAACGTCCTATATTTATAACAAATACAATATATATATACATATTTATATATTATCATGTATTTTAAGCATGCAGCTTTTGCAAATCATATGCTTTGTTTCTTTTTGATATAGTATTGTTGATTAAACATGAAGAAAATGATGAATTTTGACTTTATTTTTCCTTTTCTTTTTTCATGTGGTGAAACCACTTTTCTTTCATATGCAGTATATGTATTGTGAATTATGCGACTGCTAGTTTTTATTGTCAAATAATAAGTTGGCAATTGAGAAGATGCTATTGGAATATTGATAAAGGAATTAGCATAGGTAAAAGGTTGAACTCTGATAAACGTAAGGTGGTTTACAGTAAGGCAACAGTGTTTCACAATGTATTGACACAATACTGCATTCATTGTAATTAGCACCCGCCCACTATTTCAGAAGGAAATTATATAGACCCCCTCGCTCTCCAAGATCTGATCACCAGGCCACGTCAATGATTTATAGAATAATGATGTAAAGCAGAAGCTTATGTCTGGTGATCTAGTGATCCTGGGCACTAATCACAACAAATATGTTAATATATATTAGATTTAGTGAAAATTTCTTTCTTGTGATGAAATGCCTAAATACATTCTGGGTAGGATAATCTATTATCACAAGTCTAAAGGAGACTCAAGATTTCAAGATTTTTATTTCACTCAGACACACATAATATGTGTAGCTAGAGGTGCTGTATATATAACATAGTTTGAGTGCATGACAGGCAAGCATTCTATATCATAGCATAGTATATAATAATATATATACATGTAGTTACATACAAATAATTCAGTGTTCAACTTATATAAAATGACTGATTAAACTGTCCACAGGATCATGATGTAATCTACATTAAACCGTCCACAGGATCATGATGTAATCTACATTAAACTGTCCACAGGATCATGATGCAATCTACATTAAACCGTCCACAGGATCATGATGTAATCTACATTAAACCGTCCACAGAATCATGATGTAATCTACATTAAACCGTCCACAGGATCATGATGTAATCTACATTAAATTTGATTATAATAATAAAAGTAATGAAGTATTTCAGGGTCATCTCTAAATGTAGTTGCCAAGTTACTATATTGCAAATTAATTCATTCACCCCTGAAATTTCATAATGAACGATTCTAACCTTTGAATTGGAAGATTTCAATAGTGTCTTCAGGGGTGAATAAGTTAAATGACTAAAAGTAAGACTGATTTGGAAAAGAACAAGACTTAGTATTGATATCCTCTGCTCTGTAAACATGTTGAGATTAGAGGTTACCATGTAACATAAATTCCATAATGTTTATATTCTTTAGGAATCCATTAAGGAAGTACAAACATAGTGATTTTAATGTTGCAAAATAATGACAGACAAATATAAATTATTTACTTTACAAGATAATTTTTTCCAAAGAACAATCTACATGTATGTAGCAATTCAGGTTACCTAGATATAGGCAGAATAATTCATCTGGAATTAAACCATTTTTTCTTTTATACCAAGTTATTGAAGCATCGAATGTAGGTAAAAGCTGCATCATTGTTGCAAGTTTTACGCAAGTACGGCTTATAGTTATCCAAATATTGACTGAACAATTCTTATAATGTGATATGAGGAAATTTTAAGGAAGTCACTAAAGCATAAAGGTCAAATTCAGCATCTGCAACATGCATTGAGTAGAGTGACACTAGCTGAAGCATTGGTGCAAGTATTATCTAGATAGAACTTACAGTTAGTCCTATATTGGACTGAACAATTCTTCAAATTCAAGAGTTAAATCAAAGTCATTATCAGTTCCCACATTTAAACTCCTGGAATATCTCAACCAACAAAACGTTCTGACATCAACACTGTAGCTTTATTTATTTCTTAAAAAGTCTCGTATTTCCAAGGGAATTAAAGGTGGCAAATGCATTTCTGTGGTCATGGCTTTTTGTAGCTAAATAATGCAAAATCTTATTGGAAGTCAAACAATATAATTTAATGAAAAATATATTTCATTGTTTAAGAGGACCTATCGTCTGTCTTCCAAATTTGATTAAGAAATTTAATATTTACAACACCAACACATTAAATATTTGCACATTTTCTCCATGACATACATAAAAATATTGTGAAATAAAAATTTGCATGAATAAGAAATCTAAAAATACCATGTATTTGTATTGAGGTACAAAACGAATAGGAACTACCTCCCATACATAAAAACTTGAAACAGCAGATGTAGTAGCTAGTCTCACTTACACACTAAACCTTGTATCATCCTCACCATCATGAACATCAGATGTAGTAGCTAGTCTCCCTAACACACTAAACCTTGTATCATCCACAACATCATGAACATCAGATGTAGTAGCTAGTCTCCCTAACACACTAAACCTTGTATCATCCACAACATCATGAACATCANACATCATGAACATCAGATGTATTAACTAGTCTCCCTAACACACTAACCTTGTATCATCCACACATCATGAACATCAGATGTAGTAACTAGTCTCCCTAACACACTAGCCCTGTATCATCCACACATCATGAACATCAGATGTAGTAGCTAGTCTCCCT